AAGAGAGGGTCTCAGCACGAAAATTTCCCCGAGTTACTAAGACGACCTCTAGAGAGAACTGAGGAAACTTGTTTTGAATACGATCCAACAATATAATTTGTATGAGATATCACCTGTATTTCACAAACTAAATCTACAGTCAATGTTTGTCCCAAAATACAAGAGACCAAATAAACAAGTTCGGACAGGGAAGTATGAGCTTGAACCAACAACCTTTGCACAAGTTCCAAGATGCAAAGATAGAGCTAAGTTATTTATTGCCTCATTCTGTATTGAACAATTAACCTATAACCTGTTGGAATGGTTGTATGATACCTTGTCGATTGATGACATCAATATAAACTTACCAACACATTTGATTGTACACACTATTGGAGACGCCCTTAGGTACTCTGTCAAAAAATCCTTATATTATGATACAGAGGGAGTATATACGAATACGATCATTGCAATTGTATGTACTCCCGTGCAACACGCGGGCTACTAAATGATTGTAGGAGGAGGGCAAATGGACCGACGAGTCCATCCGCTGGTCAAGCCGGCTGTGATATTTTATTAATATACTCCCTACAATTCATATTAATATTTGTCTTAAATTTGTCTAGATATGGATGTGCTCCCTCGTTTTTATTTACATCGCATATTAGGTTTGTCTAAAGTCAAACTTTATATACTTTCAACAAGTTTGTAGAGAAACGTGTTAACCTGTACACTACAAAATATATATCCTTGGATTCATCATTGCATATATTTTCACTCATATAAATTTGATAATGTAAATTTTCATATTCTTTTCTACAAACTTGGTGAAATTTTATAAAGTATGACTTTAGTCAAAGCTAATATGCAGAGTAAATAAAAACGGAGGGAGTGCGTTCTAGACAAATCTAAGACAAGTAATATAGATTGGAGGAATTATATATTTTTTAAGAGATCAGGTCGTGGATTTTTAAATTATGCATCGTGTCAAGTAGACTATGCTACCTTTTTTATCAAAAGTTGTTGTAGAGTATTTTAAGATGTGTACCGAAGCACCCTACATCATATGTCTGTGTAATTTTTTAAGTTTGCTGTTTAATTATTGTTGAGATGTGTACCTTTTAATGTTTCCTTTCAATTATTGTTGAGAAGTTGTGGAGCTTCTCGGTGCCTCCGCCCTCGCTGACAGCCCTGTGTCCTTTTCTGCGCGAGCTCGGAGCAGTGGGTGGGGGTGGTTGGAGCCAAACAGGAGAGATGGCAAGTGGAGCTTTGCTGACGGAGCGGAGACAAAAAGGTTTGATTGGATGTCACCCCGGCCTGATTACTGTAAGACACTCAAGAAAAGTATTGACCTCGGAGTTGCTTCTTTAATCCTATGTCTCCATCCTCTATCTCATCCATTTTGACGGAGCAGGATCTAGATCTCACCTCGCGTCTATGGAAGTCTCCTCTCCCATCCTCTTTCTTGGACAGCTTGAGAATTGATCCGGCAACCTAGCTCGGAAGAAATCATCACAAGCTTAATTTCCGCTCGACTGGTTGCAGCTGCAGGGCCTCGATCGGCAGGTTATCACCTTGAAACGAGCTTCTCCAGAGTATTTTGACCCCATATCTTCTCCAGATCTCATTTGTTCTAGTTGCCTATGGAATCACCGTATGAAGGTGATTTGTGTGTTTCTTCTGCTAATCAAAACTGTGACGAATATGTGTCCAGTAATAATTAATACAGAAAACTGTTGTTCTGCAATATTTACACGGGCAATCCAGTTCAGTGCGATCGGATGAGCATGGAATTTGCACAAATCTACATATTCGTCATATACTCAAAGCCCAAACAAGATGCAAGAGAATAGGAGTGCTGCTATGCCACCTCTTTTTCTATTGCAAAACAGAGGAGTGTGATATTTCTGCATTTATACCTTTCATGATCACAGAAAGAAAAAAAAACATCTAGGAATCAATGGAGCTGGGCCTGGTACCTACACAAATAATGCGCTTTCTCTTGTTGTAGGGGTTCTGTGACATCTAACTGCAAATGGAACTCCCATCTATTGCCACACGAAGGGACCTGGAGTGCATCCTATCTGATGAAACGGCAGAGCCCATGGCCCTGCCACTGCCACTTCTGCAAGATATCACCGATGATTTCTCTAAAGAGCATGAAATTGGCAGAGGTGGGTTTACGGTGGTTTATAAGGTACAGTAACTCTGATCTGCTCCGGTCTTGATCTAACTTTTTCTGAAAACTGAAGTTGTTGCTGACAAGGCAACTTCTCTCTGTAGGGAAAGCTTGGGAATAGGAATGTGGCAGTTCAGAGGTTTTCCAGTACGCATATCATTGAAAACATGTTCCAACAAGAACTTGAATGTCTCCTGAAGGTGAAACACAAAAATGTAGTACGGTTTCTAGGGTATTGTGTTAACACACAGGGATTTTTGGCAACCTACAATGGAAAAATGGTCATGGTGGATGTACCAGAACGGTTGCTCTGCTTCGAGTATCTTCCTAAAGGGAGTCTTGATAAGTATATCACTGGTAGGATCATGTGGCACGTAAAGTTTCTTTTAACTTGTATTTTCATCATTGAAGATCATCAATTTTCAGTTCACCATGTCGCATACTATCTATACTAAGCTGCCTTTATCATCTACCATTTGTAGATACATCTCACAAACTTCAGTGGACAGACTGCTTTCGAATTATCACAGGAATTTGTCAGGGGTTAAATTATCTCCGTCAGAAAAACATTGTCCACTTAGATCTAAAGCCCACAAACATACTTTTGGATGATAAGTTCGTGCCGAAAATTACTGGTTTCACTTTATCTAGGTGCGCTGTTGAATCAGAAGACTGGGCTACTGCTTTAGTCTGTGGAACATTGTAAGTTTTCTAAGCCTCTTCGAAGTTCAGTCCTTTTTCCTGCTATGATTTATACTTAACACTATGTTACCTTGTTCATTAACCAATCACAAGGATATATATTTTTTCAGTGCATATATGCCACCAGAATGGCATGATGCTACTAAAATGACATACCGGTATGCGTACGATCGTGATATGTACAGTGTTGGTGTAATAATCATGGAGATACTCACTGGAAAGAGGTGTTGTCATCATGACATTGACATGGTAAGAAATAAAGGCTGTACTTCAAAACGAATGCATTACTTGCTTCTTTTTTCTTTTAGGATCTCTCTCT